AACCCCAGTTCCCAAGTAATGCCAGCCACAACATTGTGAATTCCTCAGGGAGGTGCCAGTCGCATCCTCATCTCTCCTTCTCGCCTCAGGAGGTGAAAGAAAATGTTTTTCTTCCTGAGTCTGGCCTTCATAATTCCATTCCATCACAGATGTCTCTGTATAGGAATCATTTCTTTTTCCCAGTGTCTATACCTGGCCATAGCTGGTTTGCTCCAGAGCATCATTGGGCCTACTCTAAAGTATTTCATTTAAAAAATGGAATCATAATTAATAACCAAGAGACAAAGTAACCCATGAAGCAGAAGTATGGGAATTAGAATGAGGAGTATCATAGTTTCTTAGGCATACTGTGTAAGTAGTATATACAGATGAAGGATGGGGGTGTACTTAGGCTGGAAAAGTGCAACAAAAAGGATTAGAAAAATCTACCAATCTACTCTGTGAAGTTGGAAGAATGGCACAAGTATCTAGATGAGGTAAGTGCAGCTTTATAAAATTTAAACATTGCTGTAAGATTTATAGATCAGTAAAATGTTTTGTTTGAGTTATGATGCTGAACAGTTCCCTGACATAAACAGAACCTGATAATGTAAAGTAGACTTCAAGCCTACTTTACTTGAGAAACATAATTTATTTAAGGTAACCAAGCAAGGACTAAGGAGACACTCATATTTAAATGAATATTACAGTCTACAAAGCAGTTAGGCAGGCATACTTTTAAAAAATTATTTAGATTTTAGCATAATTAGGTACTCTTTTGTTAGTATTATAGTTTGAGTAATTTCAAAGGATCTGTCACTAACTTCTGGATAGCTGATCTGCCAGTGCCAGTACCTAAGCATTACCTCTACAACTGCCAGTAAAATTTAAGCAATCCTCTGTCTAAATGACACATCACAACATGGTGCCTATCCAGATTTAATGAATTTAAAATTCCACTCTCTAGAAGCAAAAATAAATACACACATACGTAAGTATGAACTCAGTCCCCAAATAGCCAATTTACCTGTCCAAATGAGACATCACAGTTTTTGAGATGTCAGCCCCAGCTTCCTGCAAAATTCGAATGATCTGGAAAGGTGAATCATCCTTTCGGCCTGGATGGACAATGACTGGGCAGCCAAGCTGGGACTGGGCATGTGCTGTTGCCTTAAGGACTCTGGTTTCGCTTTCAGTCAGAGGCCAAGAGCAGCCAATTTCCCCTATTACACCACACTTGATGTTGCTTCCATCAGCTCCATTGAGAACTTCATTAACAATAACTTCTGTCAACTAAAGAAAATGAATGTTATTTTGGTAAATGTTCTCTTTGGTCTGTATAACTTGTGCTGAGAAGAGACAAGAAGGAAATTTCATCCTTTTCCTCCCACCAGTCAAATGAAGACTTCATTTTCCAAACCAAAAGCTATAATACAGAGCCCATTGCTATTCCAAATAAAGATGACATATCTGTTATGTTATCAAGGGGAAGGAAAACGAAAGTTGCAAAAAACAAATGCTGTTATTTATTAAAATAAGATGAAGTATAATTTTAAGCAATCCAAAAATAAAAATGCACTGGAACCTAATCTTAAAGCAAACTCCTTTCATTTTTGCTAAGTTCCTTGTAATTAGCAAAATCACATTTTCATGAAGTCACATCCCAAAGATACCAATACAGTATTCTTCCCTGAAACAAATAACTTTAAATAAATAATTATACACAATGTATGTGGCTTTGAATAGATCCACATTAAATTGTTCTAACTGCTGATAATGAATCAGTCAGGCCTCCAGCAACAGCAGTGTGTCTTTGTGCTGGCAAAAATGAGGGACAAAGAAAACAGAGTGTCAAAAGCAGGGCTCCACCACTTTTGGTTCTGACCCCGCTCACCACCAGCCCAAAATCAACAGATTAGCCTTGAGAAAATGTGCTCCTGAAGAGAAAGATTTCTCACTCCCCATGGGAAAAATCCAATTTCCTTCCGAATTGAATTATTTTACATTATTTTTATACACCTGAAAGGATGTATAATTATGATAAATCAACCAACCAGCGAACTTTGTTTTGCAAATGTGGAAGGTATTTGAAAGAAAAATTGTGACTTTTCATAATCTTACACTAATTCTTAGTGAAAACTCTTGGTATGCTGGTCTATGACCATAATAAAGATTTGATTTGAAAACTCTTGATATAGAAATTTTTTAAATAGGGGAATTCAGAATAAACAGTATCATAGCAAGAATATTTCACAATTTGTTTTGAAGATATTGACTTTTGACCTTAAAGCTTTTTTCTTCCTGATATGTTGTAATGAATTAACGGATATGCACAAGCTGGTAAACATGGAACGATCATCCCCGGCAACTGTGGTGGTACATGCAAAATCACAAAATGTAGCCTTAATATTTTCTTAATAAAGTAACAATATATCTTTCCAGATAAAAGTCGTTTTGCATAGATTGATCTTGAATATTTCCCACAATGTATCTTTGACAGGTTTGGGCATATTTCTACCATAGTTTTATAGATAACAAAATGTTAAATACACCCACTTCTTGTTTAGCAACTACCTTGGTTAGCAACCATTTGCAAATACGACAGTAGTAAAAAAATCATTTTCTGACCAATGCGCACATTTACAACCACATGTTGTGCACCTGACAACAATGAACACTGGAGTGACAGTAATGCTGGCATAGCTGTACAAGAGAATGAGACGGCAGCAACCAGTGATCTTCGTGTCTCTCTCTCTATCATGTTCACTTAACCATTTCAATTAATGACCAAAGTGTTGGAACAGAACTTGGTTGCTAAACAAGGGTGTAATCCTGTACGTACTGACAGAATCAACAGGATCAACATAATTATGTTAGGGAGAAAAAATATCTTTTCTTCTCATTGAACAACAAATAACCACTACTTATATTAGACAGGTACATAATAAATATTTCAGGAATGTACAGATTCAGTCCTGAATGAAGAGTGATTTGCAACAAAAAATATACTTATCTGGAAAGCAATCCTGTATATTAAAAAGCATGTAAGCTACATGCTGAATTAAAAGTTGTTAGTGTCTTGCTGACAGAAAAATCACAATTAAATCAGTTTATGCTTGACATTTAGTTTTTGCCTAAACTGATGGAAGGAACAACGACTTAACTCCTGAGATATATGTGAAAGAATTACTAGACTTTGCACAATAAAACTTAATGCAAACATGTGTCAAAAGTGTGTTCAATGCTTTGCTTGTGCTAACCAGAGTACTCCAATGGATTTGCATTCCTGTTCTCATGCAGTGATCTAGAAATATCCTTCCACCCATAGTTAAACCATTCATTATGTGTGAATGCAACCACAGTACCATACATGGGGTTTATTCAGGAGTATCCAAAATGGACACACAGTTTCTGACATAATTTTGATACCTACCTGTTCCACAGACATTGCTTTTGTCTCACAGGAATGAGTGGCATCTACATAAAAACCTGCCCCAGCAATAACATGGACACCAGTTTCTTCTGCAAGCTGTTTTAGCATCTTCACATCCCGCATGATCCCAGTGGTTGTATTTTCCACGATGCTCCCACCACCTGCAGCCTTGTAATGCAGAAGTTCTTCTCTCACAGCATCAATCTCTTCATACAGCAGAAGATTCTCTTTGTGGCTATATGGATTCTGTTTAAGCCAAAACAAGTTCTTCATCTCAATGGGTTTTTCAGAGAGAGCTTCTTGACCTGGAGGTGGTGGGTAGTAACAGCAGCTGAAGCCCATTGTCAAGTGTTCATGGGTCATAGTGTATCCCAGCTGGCTAGGCTCTATAAGGCCCAACACAGTCTGAACTTTACCCTTCAATGAAGACATTTCTTGCTTTATAGTCTTCAAATATGTTTTCTATGGGAAAGGATTGGAAAAAAAATTACTATGTTGTACAGAGTAACATTTAAACTAACAAAGACACTGTAGAAACAAGTAAGCACTTATTTTAAATACTTTTCTTCTGCTTTGCCATTAAGCGAAAAAGAATCTTGGGCTTTTATAAAAGGAATTATGAATTTTATTTTATTTTATTCTATTGAGCCTAAGCTTCATTGTGTATACTAGGGCTTCTAAAACTATTTTGTCATATGCAGTCCCAAATATGGTTTTAAAGTATTTTGATAAGGTTTCTGGAATCTTTTGAAGGCTGAAAGACAAATTACAATTAGGGGAGATAACAGCTGCTAATAAATAGATCTAAGTAGGCTGAAATTTCCTTCACACTTATTGCCTACACATCTGTCCTGCTATTTAAAGTACTTGCTGGCTGTTTCAGTGGCATAACTGAGGGGAGAACAGAACCTTTTCTCTGAGGCATAAAAACAGCAAAGCTTTAAGTTCATGAAAAGAAACAAATGGTGAGAATGATACTGATTTTTTTCCAGTCATTGCTTCTTGAATTCAAAATTCCCAGAAGCTTACACTAATCAATCAAATAAACCACAGGTCTTTAAAAGGCCTAAGTAGTTAACTTATAACTGCAACTGCACAATTGTCCAACTGGGAAAGGAACCACAGCAGAGAGAGAGAGAAACAAGGAATATAAATGGGGATGCGAGACCATCAGAAATAATGCATTTCGAAGGGGATAGAAGGAATACGTAAGAGCAGTGTAGAGAAACACAGCTTCAAGACTTTTTTTCAAACCAGAAGCAATGATATCATATGCTAGAATAATTGACCAGCTATCTTTGGCGTGGCAAATGAATGAAGAGATAACAAAAAATGTTGTCATAAAGGGACACAGGAGGATCTGTGCAGTTCAGGAAGACAAAATGGCTGCAATAATTAAGGGGAGTTGAACAGCAGAGAGAATATTCAGCAAGAAAAAAAACTGCACTTTTCTTCTATGCAGGAGATCTTTCCAAGACAGATACAGCTGCTTTCAGCAATAATCCAGATGTGGATAAAGGATGAATGTTATCCACAGTATAAATTATAGCAAAAAGTGGCTTCCTTTCTGCAAAGTCTAGAAATTTTTTATATCTATTTCATTTCATTTCTATCCTGCCAAATCAAAGTCTCTAGGGGGCTTATAGTAATATTAAATAGCAATTAAAACAAATTAAAAACTAAAGTTTTACAGCAGAAATGTCATTAGGTAAAGCAGAACTAAAAAAAACAGCACAAGGAAAGAGGGGGTGATCTAAATCTTGACTGGCAAGCTGTTCCACAGGACTGGGGGAGCCACAGAAAAGGGCTGCTTCCTCCTTCTTATCCCAAAATCATGGGTGGATGGGGGGGGCAAGGATGCAGAGCCTCCCTTCCTGATTTAACTGTACTGGGTGGGTAGATTCTACTCAGATGGACCTGAAGGTAACTTTTACAAAGCTGTGAAGATCTTTGTAGACAATTACCAACATTTTGAACTTCATTTGTCACCTTCTGTGCTTCCACATTCTGCACTAGCTGAAATTTCTGAATTTCAAAAACAACCGCAAGTACAGCGTGTTGCAGTAATCTAGTCTAGAGGTAATAAAGGCATGAGTTGTTGCTGGGGTCCAGTGGCAATTGTCAGACAAACCTGGGCAAAGGCTTCCCTAGCCATGAGCTAAACCTGTTTGTTTTATTTGTTCTTTTTATATGGCCGCCCTTCTTGCCATAACATCTTGCATTAGAAACAAGCAGAAGCCATGAATCCAGAAACAGATTATGAGTGTGATTCTATCTAAAGCTAACACTGGAGCTGGCAATCAGTTCCAATGGTTTCCGGACAAACAGTAATTCCATCTCGGTACAATTCAGTCTGAATCTGCATCATTCCATCCAATCCATAACAGTCTGACGACAATGAAAACAGTAACTCCCTCCTCCTACCCTTGTAGGCAGTCTAGAAGGTACCACAGTTGGTGGTATCATATCTTGCTGACATTTTCAACAGGACTAGGACAGGTCCCAACAAAGGTCATACATAAGAGTGATCAATTCTACTTCAATCCCATACGTAAGTCGGCAACCAGACCGTAAACAGTCAAAATATCAGTTTTATCCAGGATTCTCTTTAATCCTCCAAGATTTTTCCTAAACAGGGAAATTTAGGGATAGTGCAATAGGTGTCCAAAATGGCCTGTTCTTTTACCATAAAAAATATTTTTATATTATCTTAGGCCAAAATAAAAAGAGACCAACAACACAGTATTGAGAATAAGCAGCCAGTTATAGTGATAAGTATGCTCAGATCTACCAGTTTCTCCATGGAAGTATTGCAGAGTCTGATGGCAGGAAGTTAGTAAATTAAATATCATTGCTTAAAAAAAATCTAACATGCATCAGATTGCTTACTTCCCTGCATATTTTAGTCACTCATACATGATGACTAAAAGGTGTTTTTAAATGACTTTCCTTCAAGGCAATTTACACATTTATAAAATGAGTAATATTAGAGAACCAAATAATATTTAATAATATAGCAATTCAACAAGAACACTAAGAAAAACAATAGTAAACAATGATATTGTTTAAAGGTATAAAATAGCTGAAATGACCTTTACAGTGTGCTTGAAAATGCAGTCTTACAGAGTTACCTTGGGGTGCCCCATTAAACTCAATGGGTCTTACTTCTGACCAGGTATCACAGGATTGTACTACGTATAAATGGGAGAAAGTACACCTTCATCATGTAAGAAATTCTATCCACACTGCCCTACAAGAAAATCCCTTACTTCCACAGATAGCAATACAAGAGAAAAACCTCTTGCTGATGATGAAAGTAACCAGATGTAAACAGGTAAGCAAATTATCTGGACTCAGAGTCTTAAAGAAATTATAAGTTCTATCCTGCATTTTGCTGAATAGAGCCTGGAAACAAGCCAGAAACAAATGTAGATCTTTCAATGCCAATAAAATATAATTATGGTGAATCCTTGCATGGTTTGATGATTTAATATTCTGTACTTAAAAATCAGCCTTAACTATTAAAATTATTAAGTAAATCTAAAAGGCTTATCTTTTTTTTTAAATGTACAGTTTAATTTGATGTGTTATACACAAAGTTTTAAGTTTGTTAATAAGTTTTCCTAAGCCTTAGGGGAAGTTCAAAATATTTAAAAACAAAGGTTATCATCGTAGTACAAACAAAGGCAAGAGATCAGCTTTTGCAACCCCATTCTTTCAACAGTTAATAATTAATTCCAACTCTCACTTTTCAACTTTATTTTCCATATTATCACTAAGTATAACTGATGATTTCGATTCATATTTGCCTGTTGGAAGATGCAAAAGCTTGAGGAGATAGTTATAAATTCTAGTCAGCCAAAATGATCAGTTATGAAACAAACTACTATTTAATGATGTCCAGAGGATAGGACTAACTGGAGCATACATTATTGATCAAACAGAAGCCCTTTCTGACTGCCTTTTAGTGCATAATAGCATAAACATTTCTTGGTTACTTGCAAAAAGCTCTCAGAGCAGATTTTCAGCATCCTCCTTTTGTTTATAAATGCAACAGATAAATCAAGAGGGCAGAGTGCCCAAGAAGTCCATTTCTTCTACAGGAAATTAACAAACCATTTAACTGGCACCGTATGTAAAACATGCTGTTACAAAAAGAGAACAACAACAAATCAAGTAGAGTCCACATCACAAAGCAAGCAGTGACTGACTGGATTGCTTTGCAAAAAAGCATTATGCATAAGGATGTATGTTTTTCAATCTGCCATGACTTATATATGCTGTCTACTACTCTTACCTTTGACAAAGTTAGAAAAAACTTGATTGGGAATGAAAAAATGAATGCGGTGAGGTGCGACTCTCCTATTCTAATGAGAAGTACCAGTGAAGAATAACACCAAAATGAGATCATAGAATATGGGACAAAATGTTATCTTGCTTATTGAAGATACAATAATACTTCTTTCACTAGAATCTATTTCCTATTTAACACAACAATGCCTAATATCTCTAAGGGGATTTTTCTAGTGTGAGTCATTAAAAGCAAAATGCTTCTTTTGGGCAACCACTGTTCATTTTAATTAAGCTCAAGTTGCCCAACCCAGCCATTAATTGACTACTCTTGACGAGATCCAGCCTCTAGGTAGAGCAGCCTAAAAATCTGAGAAAGGTTCAGTGGTCTGATGCATGTTTAGAGTCAAGACAAAAGGGGAAAGAGGCTAATTCTATTCTGGCTCATCTCCTTAAAAAGTATGTTGCCATTGTTCATCAGACAGCATTTTAACATCAGTCTAAACCACATTTTAAATATCAATCTAAACTCAATCTCAACAAAACCCTTCTATTGGCTCTCCATCTGATTCTAAATGGGAAAACATCTTACGAATTTATACTGATGCAAAAATGTGTTACTCAACGAGAGTGATTTACTATGGAAGCTGCTATTTTCTTTAAAAACATTTCCGGCTTTGACTTTCAAGATGAAATGGACACTGATTTATTTCTGTCATCAATTCCTTTAATTTTGCCATTGATTACAGTAATGTGGTCTAATTCTTGTATAAAACTATATTTAGGAGACACTAGACAACCTGTGACCCTTTGGGTTATAGTTTCAAAGATATTTCCTTACCTAAACCTTACCTCTCGTTACCTACAAGAAAACTCAGTGAGGAAGTTGGCAGGGAGCGTCAAAAATCTCCCTCCTTCCCCACGTATAATATAGGCTTGCACTGTTTGCCCTCCCCTCACGACAGTCCCGGTGAAGGTGCCTCCTCCTCCTCCTCAGCTGACCCTTGGAACTGCCTGCCACTTTGCTGGTGGGAGGTGGAACAAAGGGAGCCACAAACTGTGAGGAAAACTGCACTCCCACTCCCCATTCCAGGTGTGTCCCCAAGAGCCCTCTCCCTTGAGGGAGGAAAAGGGCTCACCCATTGACCACTGGTGCCCCCTCACCAGCCCTA